CCCAGTACTTGGCCAGGACAGAGCAGTACTGGCTGGGGCTGGCCCGCAGCCACATGGGCCCCGAGGCCAAGGACAAGAAGGTGCTCAAGGTGGCTCATGCCATGGCCAAGACTTTCTATGAAGATCCCATCCAGACGTCCTGAGGCTGCTCCAGGAGGGAAGGAACGTGCTGGGAGCAGTGGCCAGCCCTGCTGAGCTCAGCCCCGTGTCCATCCTGGCTCCAGCCTTTCCCAGCTCTGGGCTGACCATCCTGGATGGATGCTCTGGATCTGCTGCTGGCACTCCTGGGAATGCTCTGGGAGGCTCCTGAGGAACAGGATTGCTGTCCAAGCACTTGTTCTGGGCTGTACAACACTGACTCTGTTGTTCCAAAGTTGTCTGGGGTCTGTCTGGACAAACTGCACATGACAATGGTTCTCTGGTCCCAGATTCCTCACTGGGGCCAGGACGTGTCTCCAGGTGTTCCTACAATAAACTCACTTGGTTATATCACCTTGTTTTGCTCAATAAATCCCATCCCAGCTTGTGTTCCTGTTTTCCTCCTGGTGTGGAAGAGGGATTGCAGTTCCTGCTGTGAGATCTGCAGGCAGTGTAAAGTGCACCAGCAGCTCTGAGATGGCTGGAAAAACCTGGGAATCCTTTCCTGCCTTACCTGTGAGATACACTCACAGAAACCTCTTCCTTTTCCATGTTCACTGTAGTTTTGCCTTTGTGGAATGTCCCAGTTTAGTTTTTCCCCCGTTGGCCCAGCTGTCCTGCAGGTGACCTCCTGATGATCAGTGAAATGTCCCCCTGCAGACCTCACTGGGGCCAGGGCTGCTCCAAGGCTTTGTTTTCCAGCTCCTCTCCTCAAGGCATCCCTTCCTTCCCAGCAGAGCAGTGCTGTGTCCTTGGGGACAGCAGATGGGATCCAAGTGGTGCTGCAGCAGCCAGGTGATGCCTGGAGGTGCCACCAGGGCTGGCTGGCCTTGTGCAGGGAATTCCAGGTGCCCTGGGAATCGCTGTGGCAGGGCCATCCCCAGGGATGCAGCTCTCCAGAGAGCAGGCCTGGGATCTGCTGGGCTCATTAGGACAGAAGGAAGATTAAATGGAGCTGACAGGGAGCTTTAATTGGTGAGATAAAAACATGGCTGGCAGGGAGGGACCTTCCCCACAAAATAACAGGTGAGAGGGGGAAACAAACCATGTATTGATAACCTGGGAGAGGAGAAAATGGAGCATTTATTGATGATCTGGGAAAGGTGAAAACAAAGCAATTGTTAATCCAAGAAGGAATCCCTTGGCTTGCTCAGCCACTCACCCTGTTGTCCTCTCACCTGGGTAAGTTCCCATCTTTCTGTGCAGAGTTTTGGGGGATTTGCCTCTCCCTGTGAGGGTGGGCAGGCCCTGGCACAGGTTCCCAGAGAGCTGTGGCTGCCCCTGGATCCCTGGCAGTGCCCAAGGCCGGGCTGGATGGGACTTGGAGCACCCTGGGATAGTGGAAGGTGTCCATGGCAGGGGTGGGACAGGATGAGCTTTAAGATCCCTTCCAACCCAACCCATTCCATGATTCGATGATCCCACAACTGCTGCAGTCCTTCAGGAGCTGTGCAAGGAGCTGAGCTGTTCCTGAAGCAGGAAAAGCTGTCAGGACTCTGTTCCCTGCCAGGCCCTCACCCCAGCTCAGGAGATCCCATCCCATCTCATCCCTGCCCCATCCTGCCTCAGCACAGCCCTCTGGAGCCGCCCTGTCTGTGTGACAGCTTCCAAAAATCCCTGCTCTCCGTGCTCCCTGCTCTTGCCAAAGCTGCCGAGTGTAATTAGCCCTTAGGTCTCAATTAAGGCCTCTGCCGTGGGTCCCACCCTGTTTCTGCCGTCGCTCCTCCCCCTCTGATGCAGTCTGGCTGTTTTCCTGGCAGGGATGCTGCCACAGCTCGGCAGCTCTGGAAGCTGGAGCTCTGGGGACTGCTGGAATCTGGGTCTTGGGTACAACCACCCAGACACCAGATGGGCTGGGAGCAGCTGACGTGACACAGGGGGTTTGTCTTCCTTCCTTCCCTTCCTTCCCTTCCTTCCCTTCCTTCCCTTCCTTCTCTTCCCAAGGATGCAGTGCTGGAGCAGCCCCTCTCACACAGGTGGGATCCAAATCTCCCTTCCCAAATTCCCCCTTCCCCACTGCTCTGCTGGGCCAGCCCCTCCTCGTGCTGGCAGAACATAAAAATTCCAGTTCAGCCTTAAAAAAATGATCCGAACCTTCAACTGACCAAGTGCAGCTGCCAGCCTGGACATAAAGCAGCAGGGCTGGATCATTTCCATGGATTTATGGCCCACCTTGATGGGCATTTTAATGGGCCTTGGGCAGATCTGCAGGAGCCAGGCTCATAAAACAGGCAAATACACTGAATTACCTCTCTCTCTGGGCTACTTCTCAGGAATATTTCTGGCCTTGGGCAAATGTGAAAAGCCCAGGACTGAGACAAATTGCTCAACTCCCCGGGATTAAGAAAAGAATCATTATTTTGGACCGTGTGAGTTGGGAGCCAATTAATATTAGTCTGTGGCTGTCTTTCCTCCTGAGCAAACCCTAGCTTGACTGAGTGCAACAGAGAGCTGAAAAATCCTGTGCTGGTCCAGGGGCAAGAGCAGGAATAACTGGGCAGGCAGCAGTGGGAAAAATCCAGTCAGGAAACCAGCAGTGCTTTTATTTGATGGATAACAAGAGGCATTCTGGTGCTGTTTTGCAGATATCTAAATATCTGTGTCTGCAGGGCTGTGTTTAGCCTGCTCCTGACAGGACCTTTGTGTCCTGCACTCAAATGCAACAAAAAAACAAGTCCTCGAGAGTCTTTCCAAAGAGTAGAAGCAGAATTCCAACTCCCAGGGGTGAATTCCCAAGGCTGCAATCCCAAAATGTGGGGGTTTTTTGGTTCATTTCAAGTGTGCAGCAAGCCTTGAAGAGGGGGAAAAAAATTATGACTAAGGACCCAAAAGGAAAATCCAAAACAACACAAAAAAAGGAAGAGGTGGGAAGATGATGGACAGTTACTGTGGAAAATGGAATTTCAAAATTATCCTTTCCCCTGTCCACCCATAGCCCTGTGCCTGGAAAGGGAAAGGAAGGAGAAGAGGAAGCAAAACTGCGACAGGAGGGAATCAGACCATGTAAGGAAAAGAACTGAATTTAACTGGCACATGCTCTAATCCTTAGTTTATTTCTGGTTAAAAATATAGCAATCCAGTGCAGTGTAATAAGAAATCTGCTGAAAAGGTAGCAGAGAAAACAGCTAAAACAGAAGCAAAGCAAAGCTGAGTCCACGAGTCCGGGCTGGATCCAACACAACTCTGGACGTGAATGTCGGGGAGGGCTTTTCCCTCCTTCCCCACCCCCCAAAATCTCCTGGGAGGGTCTCGCCCCCCTCGGGAGCTCCTGCGCCCTCCTCCTGCTGCAGCTGCAGGGGGGGACGAGGGGCGGGTTTGGTCCCTGGCCCTGCCAAATCCCAAAGGAGCCGGGGGAGCACCGAGGGCAGGGGTGGGAGCTTGGGGAGCGCCGTGCCCAGGGCTGGAGCGGGGAGCACGCTGTGTCATCGGCACCAGGACAGCTCAGAACAGGGATACGCGTCTTTAATGAGTATGCAGATTATCCGTGGGGACAGGGAGAGGGACAAAAAAATCAAGGCAGGCATAGTACAAAGATGGTAGAAACGGACAAATTAAGTGACATAGAAAAAAAAAAAAAAAAAAAGAAAGAAAATACATCCTTAGAGGCTGCCATTGCCAATGATGTTTGGTTTGATTTTCTTTTTTTTTTTTCTTTTTTTTTTTCTTCTTTTTTTTTTTCCTTTTTTTTTTTTTTTTTTTAATACAGGGACATGTTGGAAGCTGGAATATACATCCTGCATTACAAAGTGCAAAATACTACATGCTCAGAGCCCAAGCATGATGTCTGAAACAGTCCACAGCAAGATGTAAGAGACAAACCCACCACCCTCTCCCTCCTCTCTGGGACATGCTCCAGGTGCTCCTCCCCAGGTGCCTTTGAGAAACAGTTGGATTTTTGCTTGGTTTTGTTTTATTGTCATCCTCAGTGGATTGGAATTGAGCCCTCTGTCCCCTGTCCCTCCCCACCCTGCTCCCTGTGCACGTTTTTTGGGATGGGCTGGATGCTCCTCACCAGCACAGCACCATCAGCCACTCCATCTGTGCTGCTGGAGGTGCCTCCAAAGGGTTTTGGGGGGGGATTTTTAGCCAGGAGAAATTGGCTGTGAATTAAAAGTAGCTCTGGGTGGTTTTCCTGCCTTGCCATGGGTGAGGAGCAGCCTGGGGAGGAGGAGGGAAGGCAGGAGGGTGCTGGGGCTGCTGCTCACACCTCGTGTTCCCTATTACCCCTGCCCCGAGGAATTCTGCAAAAAGCCAATTTTTGTTTTAAAAACAAGGATCAGAACGGGGCCTGTTCTGCCATTTTCCCATCCAGACAGGGTTCATTCCTTCCCTGTGCTCCTTCTCTCCTCCTTCCCACAGCAGCATTCCTCCATTCCCAAAGGGTGAAAAGCCTGGTTCTGCTTTTCTCTCCCATTTATCATTTGAATTTCCCTGGGAAGCTCAGCCTGGAGCATCCCAGAACCCGTCCCCACTCCACCCAAACCTTCCCCATGGTCCCCTTGTCTCATCTCCATTTTGGGGTTCATTGCTGTTGTTACAAAGACAATTTTTTTTCTTTTGTGGGGGGGGTGAGGGGAAGGGAAGCGAGGTTTTTTCCTTTTGTTGGGATTCCTTCTCATCCTTCCCAGTGTTGGGGGGGCAGAGTGTTGATAGCATTTTGCCATGCCACACAGCATAGTGTTATACAAGCAAAGAATTTTGGCTAAAATCCAAAAAACATTACCCAGGAAAAAAGGCAAACTGTGAGTGAGACTCGATCATTTGTTGTTCTTCTGTGAAAAGACTTGGAAATTGTCAGAGGACAGTTCGAGTTATGATTCTTCCCTTTGTTTTTTTTTTTTTTTTTTTTTTTTTTGTTGTTTGGTTCGGGGTTTTTTTTGTTTTGTTTTTGTTTGTTTTTTTTCCCCCCATTCATACATGTAACTGTTATTTTTGCAAACAAGACAGTCTTGAATTAGATGAAAAAGTTAATAAACAAAATGGCGACTCCAATATTTAGTAAGATCACCATGACTACCAGGATGGGAGCTGAACCCTGCAAGAGAAAGAGAAGGACAGGAGTTAGATGGATCCTTGGAATTCTGCAGGGATTCCAGGAGAATCTGGGGAGAATCCAGGAGAATCTGCTCTGGGGAGTCCGGGCAGCTCTGGGGATGAGCAGATCCCAGCTGACACCTCCCAAAGTGCCCAGGAACCCCTGGAGGATTTTTGAAGCTGCCAAACAAACGCTTGGCTGAACCCCCTGATGGATCATGGATCATCCCATGCCACTCCCATAGGGATTCTGGCCTTAAAAACAGAACTAAAATTGGTTGTTTATCAGGTGGTCAATGAAAAGGAAAAAAAAAAAAAAAGCAACAAAAAAGCAGATTATATGGGATCTTAGAGTGGTTTGGGGATGGTTTGAAGTAACCAGGATATTTCCTAATAAATGCAGTTGTTTTCTAGGTATCCTGAACATCAAACCAGCACATGGGGGTCCATGTTCAGGTAACATTTTGGGAATGGTCTAATAACCTTTCCTGAGTTTATATGGACCCAATGAAGCTCCTGGGAACCACCTGGGAGTGTTCAAGGCCAGGTTAGATGGGGCTTGGAGCAACCTGGGACAGTGGAAGGTGTCCCTGCCGTGGCAGGGTGGGATGGGATGGGCTTTAAGGTCCTTCCGACCCAAACCATGCCAGGATTCTGTGATTTCACCTGGAAAGCATTGCAGGAACCCCACTGCAGCTGCCCTGTGCACACCCCCATCCCAGCTGGGCTGGACATCCCAGGAAAGGTTCAATCCCTTGGGGAGCATCTATTGCTTCCCCTGGAGCACGTCCTGGACAATCCTGTGGGACCCCACCAACATCCCAGCAACGTCAGGGCACTGCAGGCGGCCCTCCAACACATCCTTCTGCAGGACAGGTCAGGAAAACACCCCTGGCACCACCATCCATCCTGGCACCACCATCCATCCTGGCACCCCATCCCTGGTGCCACGGTGTGAGTGTGGCTCGCACAGGGCGAGCGCTGCTGGCACCAGGTGGGTGGTTGCTTTTCCTTGGATTTGCTGGGATCCTCAGCTATTCCTGCTGCATCCCAGGGCTGGGATGCTCCAAAGGCTTTTCCCCAGGCTCCTGCCCCCTCCTGGCACTCCCCATGTCGCTGGGATGGAGTGGGGACAGGGCTGGGCACGCCCGGGGAGCTTTCCCTGGGTGGCTCTGCGGAGCTGCTGGAAAAGGAACGGGAAGAAGCAGCTCCCGGCTGCCCGGGGATGGTTTCTGTTGCGAGCAGCCTGATTCAGCTGCCGTTTGGGAGTGGGTGGGAGCGAGGATGCTGGAGCCTGCTGGAAAGGCATATTTGTAGCTTAGCAACAGGGTCAAAGGCAGCCGAGCCAAGGCAGGGATTGCGGAGAGCAGCCGGGTGCCCATCCAGGGCTGGCTGCTCCTGGCAAACCTCTCCTCCTGTGCCACGAGAAGCTTCCAAAGGCAGCCAGCACCCCCTGCTCGCTGCTCCTTCCCTTCCCCGGCCCGGCCGTGCCAAGCCCGGCCTTGCTGGCGCTGGGAGGGATTAGCTGCATTTCAGAAGATTATTGGGTTTTAGGGTTTTTGAGCTGCTGGTAATATAATAACAGATTGCAGGCGATTATCAGCGTCGTTGTTTGCCTTGGCACGGCCCCGCCGAGGCACGGAACGAGCTCCTGCCCCGGCCCCGCAGGCAGGGAGGGCTCAGCCCCATCCCTGGGCTGCTCCATGGAGGAATTCCCTGCCAAAACAGCACAGCCAGCGCCGCCCCTGCTCCTGTTCCCTGTTCCCCCACTTTGGGATGCAGCTGAGGTCCAGCCTTTGGGGAGCGAGCTCAGCCTTCACTGCTCACTTCTCCCAAGAAACAGCAGCAGGGCAAGAGGAATCAGCCTCCAGTTGTACCAGGGAGGTTCAGCTTGGGTATTTGGGAATAATTCTTCACCCAGGGCAGTGGTGGAGTCCCCATCCCCAGAGCTGTGTGGATGTGGCACTTGGGGGCATGGAGCAGTGCTGGGGGAATGGTTGGACTCAATTCCAGAGCGTTTTCCAGGTAAATGATCCCGTGGTTCTGTGATTTGCACACAGGGCATCAAAGCTGTGCCCTCTCAGCTGGAAAACTAGGGGGATAGAAGGAAAACATCTGCCAAGGATGGGATCATCTGGGCAAAAGGATCCTTCTCTATCAACAGGTTGGCTCTCCAAGGATTTTTAAGCTTTGCTTCCAAGCTTAAAGAACAGAAACTTAGACCTTAACCCATGGAAACACTAAAACAGGAATAAGCCATGGTTATGGCACAGGAGTAATAACAGTAATTGTAGCTGTAGAGTAATCCCTGCCCCTCTGCCTTGTTTGTTTTTATCCTGGAACTGTTGTGTAGCAACTCCGGAGTTTTTCTGGGAATACGACGGACAGCTGGTTTACAAATGCAATTGTGGCATAATTAATTTAAGCATTAGCAATCCATTATTATCTGTTATCACAGGGTACAAGCTCTGCCTCTCTGCCATGGAAACCAGAGTGCAGGTTACCTAGGAATCCCTCTGGGATCTATTAAGTGTAATTACTAAGGACTTGGATCAGCAAAAAAAAAAAAATAAAATACATAGATATGCACCATTTTCCAGCCTCAGCACTGCAGAAAGGGCTGCAAACTTAGCAGCTCGGTGACATTTGTGCTGAATTGTCACATCACTGCCAGGAACAGGCTCTGTGAAATGGTTAAGGAGCATTTAGCAAAGGAAACATCAGGGAGCCACTTGGCTTTCTCCAGCGGATTGCAGCAGCTCCCGTGGCTCCAGGAAGGGGCCCAGGAGATGCTAAAAGTGCTTGTGTGAGTGGAAGTGAGTTGGGTGGGATGGAAAAACCTGCTTCTAGGGAAAAAAAAGGCTAAAAAAATGAGAGGTTATCCTCTTAGAGATCCTTTAGCCTCTTAAAGAACTGATTTGTCACCCCCGGTTCAATCCTCACCTTCCAGGTGCTCCGTGTTTGTTTAGGTATGTTTGAAGCTCTCATTTTAAGATTTTTATACTAAAAACAGCAGTCACAATTTGTTTCTTATGCAGTCTAAAGGTGGTGTTTGACTCCAAATTTTCCAAGCTAAGAGATGGAATTGGGCTCAACCCCCATAGCCAGTGATAGGAGCAGAGCCAAGAAGGTGCTCCCTGGTACATCAAAGGCCCTGGAGATGAAAAGGCTTTGAAAAGGACCCTGTCGAGTTGAACATCCCATTTCTCTCTGAAGATTATTTACCTCAGGTTGTCTGAACACGAAAGGGATTAGAGGAGGAACAGTTTGTGATTATTATTTGTCTTAAGAAGAGACAACCCCTGCAGCAATGCTCAGCCCTGCCTCATTCCAGAGCTGTGATGGCAACAGGACTCCTCTTCCTCCTTATTCCCATGAAATTATGGCTTCTGTTTGTCTGGGCACGCAGCTGCCAGGTGGGATTGAGGTGAATCTGATTGCTTGAGATGAGAGGAATAAGGAAAACCCAGGGATGATTGTGTTGGGAGATCTGGGGATGGCTCCCGATGGGGAAAAAAATAAATGGGAAAACCTGAAACTGGGAGGCCACAGGGATAAATCACAGGGTTTAATCCCAGGGAGGTTAATGCCAAACAAGTCCCCAGGTTCCCAAATGGGAACACCTTCTGGGGGGAATGCACAGGGGATGTTCACACCCCAGACAGGCTGGGGTGGAGAAAACACCCAGGTTTTATTTCTAACTCATTTTACGACCTTTAGGGCTAAAGGTGCCTAAAAAAGGAAGGGAAATTCATCTCCACCTGGGATGAATCCCTTCAGGAATAACCTGGCAGCTCTGGCAAGGGTGTCGCCCTGTTCTTCTAAAGTGCGTCTAAGCCTTCTGATGTTTACATTTTTGTAATGGAGTTTCTCACGCACTTTTCACGTAAATAATGATTGTTTTGCATTCCTTTCTGGAGGAAGGGAGAATTGATGAACTGTTGGTTTGACCAGTGTGATTGGAGAGGTAGCAATTTCATCCTCCAACCCACGGTCGCTTTTGGAATTCTATAAATATCGAAGTCGGGAAATAAACGTGCATTTTTTTTTTTTTTTTTTTTTTTTTTTTTTTTTTTTTTTTTGCCTCGGACACCTCAGCGTGTGAGTATCGTTCATTTCGTGCGGTATCGCAGGAGCACGGGGAGATCCAGCGGGGAGGCGCCGCTGCCGGGGGAGGCCGTGCCGGGGGAGGCCGTGCCGGGGGAGGCCGTGCCGAGCGCCGCGCCCGCAGCCCCGGCAGCTCCCCGCAGATTGGCTGCGTGCTCCTGCCTTTCCCCAGCGACAGCGAAACCGCCTGCAATATCTGCCGGCAAATCCGCCCCTCAGCCGGAGGAGGGAGGGAGGGAGAGGCTGCCGGGATCCCTCCCCGCCACCCCCGCAGGGGCACGGAGGGCTCTCGGAGATCCCTCAGCCGGGAGATGCCTTTAGAGCCTCTGCTGCGGTTCTTTCCCCGGGAATTTTTGCATTTGGGCTGGGATTTGCTCTATGTGATGCTGCGGGGAACAGCCGGGGCTGGCTTTGGGCTGTTGCTGTCATGTCTTTGGGGTGCGATGGGACAGGGCACCGTGAAGGGCCGGGCCTCGGGCCCCCTCACACCCCCGGTGCTGAAGGGCCGATCCTCCAGCCCCCCCGGTGCTGAAGGACCTCGAGCCCCCTCACGCCCCCAATAATGAAGGACCGAGCGCTTCTCCTTCCTTCCAGAAGCGGCAGATGTGCAGCACCTGCAGGGAAGGAGATCTGCTCCCTTCTCCTCCTCCCCAGCCCTGCCACGGGCTGTGGTTTGTGGATAAAACGCTCGCTGGCGTTTCAGAAAGATCCTTTCCCTTCCCAGTCTCTCGACAATTCCTTTTTTCATTTCCCATTTTACTTCTCTTCAAAGGCTTCTGTGAAGCACCCAGGCCCAGGCTTTGTGCCTCATGGGCCTATAAGGCTGGGAGGGATGGGGACATTCCCGTAAATCCCTTAATCCCACAACACCGGCACTGGTCCTGGCACATTGGCTCCTGTTTTCCTCTGCCCCAACGCTGACAATTGCTCTGAGTTTGTCCTCTGGGTGCTGGGGTCAGTGCCCACAGAGGCACAGAGAAATCAGGTGGCCTTAAATGTCATTTTAAACCATTTGTGTGGCTCAGTGACCCCAAAACCCCAAATCCCCTGAGAGCCAACACCAAGCAGTGCTGAATTTCATCGATGTTACTGAGCCGTGGCCTCAAGAAATGACCTTTATGAGAGGATTTTTCAATTCCTGGTGTGCAGCCCCAACAAAGGGGGGTGGTTCTGGGAACTTCTTTTAAAGGACTGGGGAAAAGTGACAAAGTTCCTACAGCTCCTACAGACTCCTTTGTGGAGTCTGTATCCCTGCCTGTGCAGCTTTGGAAAGGCTTGGATTCAAGGCCCTGTGGCTCCCAGCTTGTTTTTCAGACGGGAATCAGGAGCAGTGATTATTTTGGGGTGTGTATTTGTGAGACCTGCAATCCCAGCCTGTTCCAGCACTGGCGGAGGTTGTGCTGCCTCTGGAAGCTGGAGCTGCCACCACTCCAGCACAGAGCCAAGCCCTGGGCTCGTGAATGGCTTGTGCAGAGCTGGTTTAGGGCAGATTATTTTTAAAATAAGCTAAGCCGTGAGGGTGACCTCGCTTCTGCTCAGGGATACCTCAGGTAGGGCAAAAATAGCCTTGCTCAGCTCTGAGCATCCCTCCTGCTCATGGCAGCTCCTTTCTCTGGGAGCCCAGCTGCAGAGAGCTGGGAGCTGCCCTTGGAGCCCCTCCTTTTGAGAGAGCTGGCACTGCTGGCACCCGGGGGAGAGGCTGGAGCAGTGTGGGCCCTCACACACCTGCCCACAGCCCTGCCAGGCCCCAGGGAAGGGGGATTTCAGGCCAGTGTAGGGAATTGGGCTTTTGGGGGGGATTGGGGAGCCTTGATTTGCTGTGGGGGTATGTGGAGCTGGAGCAGGATTCAGGGAGGATTTGCAGGATGGAGTGCGTGAGTGTCTGTGTTGTGTGGGGATGGATGTGGGGTCCGTGGGATGAATCCTTCCCCCTCAGCCTTCCCCTCCTCCTCCTCCTCAGGGATTCACCGCTCCCTGAAGTCTGAAATGCTTCTGATGGCAGGTGAGGTCACGGGTTTGGGCAGGAGGTTGGAGCACAGATCCTGCGCCTCCCATTCCTCCCCTACACCTTCCCCTGCTCCTGTCCAGCCACCCCCTCTCTGCCAGGCCACTGGAACAAAACCCTGCTAGCACCGTGCAATTCCTGCTAGAACAAATTGTTGCTGGCATTGTGGGTTATTTAAATCCACATATTATCTCTTCCTCTGTATTACATTAGCTTCCTCCCAAACCTTCGCCATCTGTTCCACCCTCGGTTATGAATGTGAGAAAACTGAACATGCTGCTCCGCAGCTCCAGCACTTCCAAAGTAGGATGTGCATCCTAATGGCTTTTCCATGCACTTCTCCACACAGGCTGGGCCCTTCCTTAGTGGCCAGGGCTCGCTGGGAATGGCCAGGAATGTCTTGGTGGCAGTTTGCCTCCAGACATGTGGAGAGAGGTTTATTGTGACAGCTCCGAGGTGGGAGCACATCTGATGGGCTGGGTGGGGATACAGCTCAGAGCTGCTTGTGCCACTGATCTCCCCAAAATCACGTGGCTCTCAGCGAGGAGAAACAGCGGTTTCATCCCTCCTGGGGGCCCTGTGTCTCCCAGGTTGTGTTGTCAGAGGTGCTGGAACATCTGCGCATCCCACGGCCTTGCCAGGCTGTGTCTGTGCAATTACTGCTGCTGCTCTTCCCCTCTGGGAGCCTGTCAGGCTCCTAATGCTGCCTGTCATGTCTCCAGTGCTTCCCAGGCAGGCAAGGACAGCAGAGCTGCTTTTCCAGGGCTGCAGGATGGGTCCTGTGGATCCCCTGTGCTCAGCTCCCCCTCAGTGCTGGGTGGGAGATGCTGAGCCCAGGGATGGGGAGGCAGAGAGCTCCAGGGCAGCTGGGGGGGGTTTATCAGCAGATCCTTCCTTCCTGCATCCCAGGCTGCTCTGGGGGCATTTATCCATAACTCCAGCAGGAAAGCTGGGGCAGATCCATCCTTTCTGCATCCCAGGCTGTTCTGGGGGGATTTATCACAGCTCCAGCCAGAAAGCTGGGGCAGATCCATCCTTTCTGCATCGTAGGCTGTTCTGGGGGGATTTATCCACAACTCCAGCAGGAAAGCTGGGGCAGATCCATCCTTCCTGCCTCCCAGGCTGTTCTGGGGGGAATTTATCCACAGCTCCATCAGGAAAGCTGGGGCAGATCCATCCTTTCTGCATCCCAGGCTGTTCTGGGGGGATTTATCATAGCTCCATCAGGAAAGCTGGGGCAGATCCATCCTTTCTGCATCCCAGGCTGTTCTGGGGGGATTTATCACAGCTCCAGCCAGAAAGCTGGGGCAGATCCATCCTTTCTGCATCGTAGGCTGTTCTGGGGGGATTTATCCACAGCTCCAGCCAGAAAGCTGGGGCAGATCCATCCTTTCTGCATCGTAGGCTGTTCTGGGGGGATTTATCCACAGCTCCAGCAGGGAAGCTGGGGCAGATCCATCCTTCCTGCATCTCAGGCTGTTCTGGGGGGAATTTATCCACAGCTCCATCAGGAAAGCTGGGGCAGATCCATCCTTCCTGCATCCCAGGCTGCTCCCTCCTCTCTCTGCAGCTCGGCTCTGCTGGCAGGTGCTGGAGGAGCAGGGACACTGCAGCCATGGCAAATGTCACCACACCTCACACACCTCGATGCCTCTCGCCTGAATTTTCAGCCTGACTGACAAATTCATTTCAGTTTCGTGATCAGGCACCGTCCTGTGCTCCCCTGACAGGGAGATTTAGCTCCTTCCTGCTGAAATGTCACCTCCTGAGCGTGACAGGTTTTCCACTTCTCCTGGGTAGGTCTGGGGCATCCTCATGGGACACCTCCAGCCCTGCCCTGTGTTTGGCACTGACTCAACAAGGGGCATTTTGGGGCACTGGTGGCTTCCCCAGTGCTCCCAGCAGACCCCATCACCTCTCCTGTCAATGCCAACCAGTGGGAACAACAAGTGAGGGAACTTCTAATGGGAAATCCAGGAACCCTCAGAAAACAAGACTGCAAAAAACCTAAACTCCACCCAGCTCAGCCTTCTGAGGATGTTCAGCTCTGTCCAGGTCCTGTCTGAGCTGTGATGTCCAACCTCAGACCCTCCCTCCCCAGGCAGTTCATTACAGCCCTCACCTCATTAGCCATGGTTAATGGCTCACCCTCCTTGACTTTAAGCCCATTAATTCTGTTCGTGGAGAACAGATCATTCCCTTCCACTCTGCAGCAGCTTTTAAGATCACTCTGTCTTCTCTCCTGAACACCTTCCCAGCAGCCACTTCATGTCCAAAGCGTCCTTATCTCCCCCAAAATGAGGAGCCCAGGGTGGGGTGTCTCGCAGGGAGCTGTCCTGGAGCAGCAGGAAGCTCTGTGGCCATAACCATGACCCAAGGAACATCACCAATGCCTTGCCTGCTCCTGCAGCTTTCCCACCAAACTCCCAGCAATAATGGGTTTTTATTGCTGGCCCAGGGGCTGGGCTGCAAAACTCCATCCCCCAGGGAATGCTCCCAGCACAGTCTGCAGGGAACTCACCACACCAACGTCCAGCAGAGTGGGAGAAGGGAGGAGAGGGGATTCAAGGCACAAAACCACAATAATTCACATTTTCTGAATTTCCCTCCCATCCTGCTCCACTCAACCCCACAACAGCCCCAGGCTTTCAGGGCAGAATTGCAGCACACCCAGTGCCCTCACTCACCGTACTGGATTTGAGCGCATCCCCACTGTCCTCTTCAGATTCTAGTGCAACAGGTAAAGATTTCTGTGGCGGGGAGAAGGTTAAGTCCCACCTCAGTAGCCGAGGTTCAGCTTTGTCCCCGAATCTCAGGTTTTCCAGTTTCTGCACCGTGGGCTCGGCAGAGGAAGCTGGCCTGAAATTCTCTTTGTTCTGGGACTTAGACCTCAGTCTCTGAACCCCGAAGCCCCGCTCTTCCCCGCGGTGCTCGTCAGCCACGCTCCTGCAGCCTCCCCCTTTGCTGTAGTGTCTTTTTTGGGAGTGAATCTCTTGCATATAAGAATCCATCCTCATGAGGGGCTTCATCTCCATCTCGTAATTGCTCATCTTCTCCTCGTCCAGCTCAAGCAGCTTGGAGCTCCCTGAGCTGTGGTTGTGGGACCTGTGGTGGGAAGTCCATGAAACCGTGGCTGGGGAATCTGTCCACCTCTCTCTCGGCTTGTGGTTGGAGGCCGAATGTTTGTGTCCCCCGCTCCGACCTCTGTAGTCTTCGGGGCCGGCGTTGGAGCCCAGCTGCCCGCTGCGCATCGTCCCGCTCCTCCCGGCGCGGCTCCCGCCCACCTTCTCTTCGCTCCAGCTGTTGGGGCGCAGGTAATCCCCGCCGCGCCCCTCCAGCAACATCTGGATCTCGCCGCCCCTCTCTTCGTCCACCGAGACCTGCCTGGAGAAGTGGGCGCTCTTGTTCCTGCAGGAGGGGCCGAGGGGCGGCGTGGAGCAGGGGCTGGCGGGGAAGCTCTGCAGCGGGCTGTCCTCGGGGGTCAGGTCGGACGGGGTGGTCCCTTTGCGGTACAGCTCGGGGCTCTCTTGCTGCAGGGGCGTCCCGGTGGAGAGGACCTCGATGTCGTCGCTCGAGTTCTGCCGCTTCGGCCGCTGGCATTCGAGCCCTTCGGGGGCAGTCGTGGAGAGGAGAGAGGGGAGAGGGGAAGGAAACGGGATTATTTCTGGTGCGTGGATGCCCCGAGGGTTTTTCGTGGCACGGAAAGGGGAGCAGAGGGTTGGGTGGTGGGGAGGAGAGGGGTGGGATTGGGACAGCACTGTCACAGCTGCTGGCAGCACTGGTGTGACACCAAAGCTGCCCTGAGCCCCACCTTCCAGAACTATGACCAGCATGGGAATGGTTTTCCAACGCCAGAGGTGTGGAGAAGCCACCAAGAGGTTCTGATGGTTTTTTGGGATCCATCTGACCACATTTCCTATCAGTTCCCAGTCTGGAAGCTTGGGAAGGGAAATCTGTGATGTGGCTGGTGGCACACCCTGTGCTCTGTGTTTGTGTGTGCTGGGTGCCACTGGGACCACTCTGGGTGTGTCCTGGGTGACACTGGGATAACCCTGGGTGTGTTGGGTGTCACCAGGATCACCCTGGGTGCCACTGGGATCACCTCACACCAACCTCACCCCCTTCCTGCATGGGAACCACCTCAGTTTTCATCTGCCAGGTGCAGGAGGGAAACGGCCACATCTGGGCAGGTGTGCAAGAAAAACCCCACAAACCTCACATCCAAGGGCTTTCCTGCCCCACACAGCCCAGCAGGACATGGAGATTTCCCTGCTCAGCCCCAGGATGGGATGCAAGGACAGGGCTGGTTGTTCAGGGCCACCTGAGGCCAGCACCCCCCATCTTCCTCATCCCACTGGAGGCTCCTCATTCCTTCAGCTCAGAGACTTCCCAGGCAGGGTCACCCTGGGATGGGCACCTCAGGAGGGGCTGAATGTCTTCTGCTGCTGGAGGAACAACATGGAACAAAAACCTCCAATGTGTTCATCACTGATGAAACACCAAACGATTTCAAGCGAGCTAATAGTGGTTAATTCTCCTTTTCCCCTCTCCAGTCATTCCCAGCTAAAGCCATGCTAAATTAGGTGAATAATTTGATAAATATATTAAGTGCCTAATGCCCCTGAAATGCATCTAATTGTGATTGCTATGGTGAGACAAGAAACGAGTCTTGAAAAGGGAGAGCTCAATTTTCCTGCCATCATTTAAAAATGAACGCTCGGCAGCGCCTGCTCAGGCCTCCACTTCTGCTAAGCAATTTTCTCTCTTGGATCTTTTTGGGGAGCTGCTGGGAGGTGCCCTCACCCCTGCAGGGTTGGGATACACACAAGGAATGCTGGAGTACCCATCAGAGCACTGGCAGGGAGGGAAATAGTGAAAAAACTGCTCGGAAATCTACCCAAGCAATTTATGGGAAATGGTCTCCTAATGAGTTTTTGGGATGATACTCACATAGTCCAGCTTTCATTTTTTTCCTGTTTGTATGTGGGAGACTGAATTTCCTGGAGTTTATCCAGGACCCCTGAAAAATCCTGGTATTGGTGGGGAACTGCTAAGAAGGAGAAAGGTGGAGCTCACCCCTCTGTTTTCCTGCAGAATATCTGTCTCTGGGAAAAAAGACAGACTTTTTTTTGGGATGTTTCCCAGGCATTCCTGACCCAGCCACCTTTCAAGATCCCAAATGGGAAGGTGAGGCACAGAGGGAATAAAGGATTTCACGTGAGAAAGCTGGAAAGCCACCTGTGGGAACGGGCTCACCCAAGGTTTTGGGCTTCATCTTCCCCAGTTCAGGGATTTTGCTGGAATTCCAGGGATTTCCAAGCTCCCCACCATCTCCATGGCCTCCAGAGCTGATGTCCAGCCCCATAACCAGCCCCAGCCTGGCTACACCCACTGCTGCTGTTCCCAGAGCCCCAGAGAGGGGACAAGAAACCCCAGAGATGCTCCCCACAGCCACACCAGGGAGATGGCATCGAATCCCCCCCATCCAAACCTTCCCCAGCACCAATCCACAGGGGGCTCTGCCTTTCCTGGGTTAATCCCTGAGGGTTGGGGCTCTGGGAGGGGCAGGACTGGGGGTGCTGGGGCACAGCTGGGGCACATCTGGGGCCCTGCTGCCCCCCAGCCCCGCAGCCCACAGGGATGGAGGCGTTTCCTTGCGCAGGAACTCCGCGGATGCACCGGGGCCCTTTCGGCACCCGAGGATGTGCAACAATTATCCGGAGCTAAAATTATCCCCGGGGCACGTGATGTTCCTGGAAGAAGGGTTGTGAGAGCGAAGGAGGATGCAGAGCACCGAACGTGGATTTCCAGAGGGATGGAGGCAGCCGAGCGCGGCCTCCGAGGCTTCAAAGGCAGAGCTGAGGAGCCACGTTTGGGATTTGGGAGCCTCTGGCTCTGTGTGCTGCTGTCTCTGAGCGGGGGGACTCGGTTCTGCAGCACCAGCCAAGCCTGGTGATCCTGCTGTGTGCAGGAATTGGGGTTGATGGGCACCTGGAGATGCCCATGGCTGATGGGCATGGGAGCCATGGGTGAGAGGGCAGGATATGAAACAGGGACAGTTTTGTTTTTACCTTCCAGGAGCTGCAGCTGCCCAGCGGTGCCCAGGGCTGATGCTGAGGTGGGCACAGACCCCTCTGTGGTGTCCCACAGCACCCACAAACCCCTCTGAGGGGGCACCCAGCGCCCCTGGCACTCGCTGCGCCAGGTGGGTGGTACCCACACCCACCTCCCTGCCAGGAACACATCCAGCACCCAGCATCCCGTGGAAAGGGAGCACAGCCAGCACCCAGGGGGTGGGTGGCACTCAGCACCCACCACAGCACGCCGTGGGTGGCACTGGGGACCTGCAGCACCCTGCAAGGGAGCACAGCCAGCGCCCAGGGTTCTGAACAAGGAGGGCACATCCAGAACCCACAATTCTGAATGTGGGGGGCACATCCAGCACCCACAATCCTGTACAAGGGTGACAAATCCAGCACCCACAATCCCGTGAAAGGGAGACAAATCCAGCACCCACAATTCTGAATATGGGGGGCACATCCAGCACCCAAAATCCTGTACAAGGGTGACAAATCCAGCACCCACAATCCTGTACAAGGGTGACAAATCCAGCACCCACAATCCCATGAAAGGGAGACAAATCCAGCACCCACAATTCTGAATATGGGGGGCACATCCAGCACCCAAAATCCTGTACAAGGGTGACAAATCCAGCACCCACAATCCTGTACAAAGGTGACAAATCCAGCACCCACAATTCTGAATATGGGGGGCACATCCAGCACCCACAATCCTGTACAAGGGTGACAAATCCAGCACCCACAATCCCGTGAAAGGGAGACAAATCCAGCACCCACAATTCTGAATATGGGGGGCACATCCAGCACCCAAAATCCTGTACAAGGGTGACAAATCCAGCACCCACAATCCTGTACAAGGGTGACAAATCCAGCACCCACAATTCTGAATATGGGGGGCACATCCAGCTCCAAAAATCCTGTACAAGGGTGACAAATCCAGCACCCACAATCCTGTACAAGGGTGACAAATCCAGCACCCACAATTCTGAATATGGGGGGCACATCCAGCTCCAAAAATCCTGTACAAGGGTGACAAATCCAGCACCCACAATCCTGTACAAGGGTGACAAATCCAGCACCCACAATCCCGTGAAAGGAAGACAAATCCAGCACCCACAATTCTGAATATGGGGGGCACATCCAGCTCCAAAAATCCTGTACAAGGGTGACAAATCTAGCACCCAAAATCCTGTAAAAGGGAGACAAATCCAGCACTCACAATTCTGAATAACGGGGGCACATCCAGCACCCACAATCCTGTGATAGGGAGACAAATCCAGAACCCACAATCCTGTTTAAGGGGAGCACATCCAGGACCCACGATCCTGTGACAGGAGGGCACATCCAGCACCCACAATTCTGAATATGAAGGGCACATCCAGCACCCAAAATCCTGTACAAGGGTGACAAATCCAGCACCCACAATCCTGTGATAGGGGGGCGCATCCAGCACCCACAATCCTGTGGAAGGGGGGCACATCCAGCACCCATAATTCTGAATAATGAGAGCACATCCAGCACTCAAAATTTTGAATAATGGGGGCACACCCAGCACCCACAATCCGGTGGCAGGGGGCACATCCAGCACTCAAAATTTTGAATAATGGGGGCACACTCAGCACCCACGATCCTGAGCACGGTGGGCACGCAGAGCCCCTGCAATGCCGGCAGGGTGGTGGCAGCTCCCACCTGGCTGTCCCCAGCCCGAGGTGATGGCTCTGTGGGTGACACAGCCACTCGCACCCATCACCTGCCCTGCCGGCACATCTGGGATGCTGTGTTTGGTTTTCAATGCGCTCTAAGTGGAACCGCCTTCCTTCCCTGCCCTCCCCTCCCGTGGCTCACACAGCCCCCCAGACAGAGCTCCAACCGCACAAACCCCAGCACGAGCGAAGCGCCACGGCCCCGTCCAGGAGCTAGTAAAAAATGCATTACCTAAAAATATCTCTCCAAGAGGTGATTTAAACCAGCAAAGTCTCCTGGCAGGAGGAAATGGAGATGAGGAACATCTCAGGGCTGGAGAAGCCCCTGGGAGCACGCAGAGAAAGCTCCGATCTGCCGTGTTCAGATGGGGCTGGGCAGGAGCAGGGATGGGCGGGCTCGGAGCGGGCTGAGCCTCCTCCCGCAGCCGGGAGATGCGGGGGATGCAGGGGATGCTCGGACCGGGCCTGCCTGGGGATGTGCCCCGGCTCAGCCCCAAAGCTGAGCCATGGGATGTCCCCGGCCGCCCCCGCAGCTCGGTGAGGCGAGCACCGGGCCGGGCTGGGCCAGCACAGCCCATGGTCCCTTGTCCCCGAGCTCGGGAGCAGCCCTGAGTCACCGCAGCAGCCCCTGGAGCAATTACAGCGAGTGAGTAATCCTCGCTGAGCTGGGAGGGGGAGAACAACCACAGCCGCCTCCCGAGGAGGACTCGGGGCTGGAAAATTTCTCTGTAAACCCAGCCGCACTTTAATTATGATGTTAATTATTGCTGGGGGCACTTGGAGCGTCCCCACTCCCAGCCGGCTGCAGACCCCGGCCCGACCTCGGCTCGGCTTCGGCTCTGTCCTTTCCGAGCCTTTGGTGAGCAAAAATGTGAATAAATCCACAAGGAATGGTGAAAGTGATGGAAGGAGGGAAGAAAGAGAGAGGAAGGAAGGAAGGAAGGAAGGAAGGAAGGAAGGAAGGAAGGAAGGAAGGAAGGAAGGAAGGAAGGAAGGAAGGAAGGAAGGAAGGAAGGAAGGAAGGAAGGAAGGAAGGAAGGTCAAATGTGGATTTTCCCAGTGACTGATTTGCATGGCTGAGGGAAGGGTCAGGTCCCACTGGGTCCAGCCTTTCCAAAGCAATCAGGAACTGCACCAGCCATGGGTGTAAAGTCAGTGGTGACCTCTGGGATCATCTGTTTTTCATCCAGAGCCCTTGTTGGGCTCTTTCTTTGCAACCACCAAGGGCTATGAACTAAAAACTTGGGGGAGAAAGAGGAAACACTGGGAAAACAGTACTGAACAAGGGGGAACTGCTGGATATTGACAGCCCTGCCCTAAATCTCCCCAAACCTGGTATTCCATGGAGTTTTCCCCTCCAGGAGCTCCGGTGGGGATGGGGAGCTGCGGGCACAGGCTGAGCCTGCAGCCAGGGCAGTTTGGGGGTTTGGGGGTGTTTGAGGGCAGGGCCTGGCAGGGACTGACCGTTCTCCCTGTGCTGGAAGGAAGGTGAGAACTCTTTGGCAGTGATCCTGGCGATCCGCGCTTCCTCCTGCGCTTTCTGCGCCGCCGTCACGGCCGCCTCCGCCTTGGCCCTGGAGTGAGAGGTCCTGCAAGGCAACAGAGACACCAGCACCCCGTTAGGCAGCTCCTCCCTGCCACGGGAAGCCCCACATTTCCCCCACAGGTTCCTCCAAAACCCTTTGGCTGTGAGGGAGGAGCTGCCAGCAGAGCTTGGGGCTGGCTGGGGAATGGGGGATTTTCCAACACCTTCCCGAGCTGCTCCTCAGCCTGGAAATCACCCAGGAAATTCAGATTTGTTCCCCCAGGGTCCCTCTATCCCATTTCCCACCCCGTCCCAGCAGCCTCTCCGTGCATCTCCCACGAGCCTCCAGGGTTGAATTTAAAGCTGGTTTGGTTGTTTTTTTAACCAAACCCGTTTTTTTGGGGGATGAAATAAAAAAAAAAAAAAAAAAAAAAAGAACATTTCCACGCCCACCCCCACGTTTTGCGTAAAATGCTGGATGTAAATAAATACTGGGAGCAGAGGTAGGAGCGGGGGGTTCGGCTCTGGAGCCGCCTCCACCATCCCTTCACACATTTTGATCAGGGCACTTCTTCCCTCTGGATCAACAACTGTCCCCTGCACTTGCTGATGATTCCCCAGAGGCTTTTTTTGGCTGGCATTTCATCCCATCACTCAGGATTTACAGCTTCTCTGAGAGCATCCTCCGGAGGTTGCTTTTCCCCCTTTTCCCCTTATCCGAGCTATCCAGGCACTTTCAAAAATTCCTGCTCCCACCCCGGTGCAGGCAGGGTTATAAATAACTCCACTGATTTCTTTTCCCTCCAAAATCAGGCCCTCCATCTCCTTTAATCATTTTTTTTCTGCCTCTCTCTGAATTCCCTCTAATTTCTCGACATCTGCGTGGAGAGGGAGTGCCATTTCTGACAGGCTCCTAAAAATGGAAAACAGGGCCAGGAATGTGCCGGCTTTGGTTGGAAGGGCTGGGGAACAGGGTGTGAGTGTGGCTGTGCTGTCACCTGTGTTTGCTCCTGACACTTCTCAGGTCTCTTTGCTCTAATAAATGCTTTATTCCCAGCCATTGGCTGCTTTGGAGTAGCCCTGGAAGCGAATCCGAGCTGTTTTCCAGAGTTATTGGAGGTGCTGGAGTGGCTGTGGTGGTGCTGCTGCAGGTCCTGAGGGTTCTCTGTGATTAATGCACCCAAAAATTGGGTTTAAATGGGTTTTACCCAGTGCTCTCCCTGCCCAGCACTCAGGTGGGGTCAGAGGAGGGGACAAAGGTGTCACAGCCCATTCCCTGTCAGGTATCCCAGCCCTGCTCTTTTAGGAGGAGCAGGGATGCCCCAAGGAGGAGCTGCAGCAAACTGCTGGGAGGGGAGGTCGGGATTGCTCCCTTTTTTCATGGAATCATGGAATGGTTTGGGTTGGAAAATACTTTTAAATCCATCTTATTCCAATCCCTGCAGGGACAGCTTCCACTGGTCCAGATTATTCCAACCTGGCCTTGGGCACTGCCAGGGATCCAGAGGCAGCTACAGCTTCTCTGGGCACCTGTGCCAGGACCTCCCCACCCTCACAGATATTGGGAATTTCTTCCCAATATCCCATCTAAATCCACCCTTTTTCAGCTTCAAGCCATCCCCCCTTGTCCTGTCCCTCCATGTCCTGTTACAGTCCCTCTCCAGGTCTCTTTCCAGCCACATTTTTGTCACCAATGTGCTCTGTGAGAAACACTGGGACATCAAACCTGTGCATTAAGCCATCAGAGCCACCAGGAGGTTAAAATTCAGATTCTGCCTCTCTGAGCTCCTTAAACCTCTGGCATCTTCCAGGGGAGCTTCTCAGGGACATGGATTTGAAGCTCCTCCATCCATTTATCCCCTGGCCTGGAGCTGCCCGGGCTGGGCCTGTCCCTGCCTCTCTGCAGAACTTTCCCAGGTCCCTGCTGGCCCAGCTGAGGATTAACAGTGTCTGTGAGAGCCTGGCCCGTGCTCAGCAGCCAGGATTATACTCTGCTCCTCCCTGGAGAGGCGCCTGGAGCCGCTCAGCCCTCTCTTCCTGCCAGGGAAGGGGGCTGGAGCAGCAGCCGTGCCCTTCCAGGGGTCACACGGGGGTGGTGGCAGAGCTGGAGGAGCCCACATGGAGCCACCACCCCAGGCTGGGCTTCTGGGATGGCCCAGGCTCTGCTCCTCCCTGTGGCACTCAGCACCCCCTTGATGGAATCATGGCATCATTGATTCCATGGAGAATGAGCTCCAGGATCACCAAATCCAGCCTGTGACTGATCCCCACCTTGTCCCCAGCCCAGAGCTCTGAATGCCACCTCAGGAATTCCTGGGACACCCCCAGGGATGGGCACTGTAACCCTCCCTGGGCAGTTCCAGTGCCTGGTCACTCCTTCCAGGATGAAATTCCTGCTGATATCCAACCTAAATGGATTAAAATCACCACCCGTGGAGGGTGGATGCATTTCCATCTCTGGAAAACACCTGAGACTTCTGGATCTGCTCATCCCCATGGACTCCCAGGATGAGCCCAGAAAGTGCAGGGAATTTAAAAAATGAAAACTTGGGAGATTTGGCTCAGAAAAGGTTAAAAATCAATCCCAACAATGAAGGCATGAACCAAATACACTTGGGGAGGGATGGAATGCACTGGATTCCCTGGGGCAGAGGGACACACTGGATTCCCTGGGGCAGAGGGACACACTGGATTCCCTGGAGCAAAGGGACACACTGGATTCCCTGGAGGACATGGGACACACTGGATTCCCTGGAGGACATGGGACACACTGGATTCCCTGGAGCAGAGGGACACTGGATTCCCTGGAGCAGAGGGGACACACTGGATTCCCTGGAGCAAAGGGAACACACTGGATTCCCTGGAGCCAAGGGACACTGGATTCCCTGGAGCAAAGGGGACACACTGGATTCCCTGGAGGACATGGGACACACTGGATTCCCTGGAGCAGAGGGACACTGGATTCCCTGGAGCAGAGGGGACACACTGGATTCCCTGGAGCAAAGGGAACACACTGGATTCCCTGGAGCAGAGGGAACACACTGGATTCCCTGGAGCACAGGGACACACTGGATTCCCTGGAGCAAAGGGAACACACTGGATTCCCCAGAGTGCTGCTGATTAATTGTTTGTAAAGCTCCCTGAGACGCTGGCAGGAGTGAAAAGCAGAATTATGGAGATCCATACGTTGCATAATAAAATCCATAAGTATTCCCAAATAAATGCCAGTAATCCAGTTAGTGCTCGCATGACTTTGTCACATCCTAAATTTACCAGCTGTCTCCTTTCTCCACGCCTGCTGCTCGTGGCGTGTGCTAAATCTTAATTCCCACTTAATTGCCTGGAGTTTATTTCCCTGGAAAAGTGGGGTTTTTTCCTCCCTGACACATGGACAGGGCCTGATCTCATCGCTCTGCTCCTCCTTCCCTAAGTGCTGCCATAAATTTTTTTCTGGGATGGAGACGCCAAACTGGAGAGCACGGTGAAAATAAGGCTGGGGCTTTCCCTATAAAACAGAATTATGGGATGGTTTGGGTTGGAAGGGACCTTAAAGATCATCCTGTTCCTGTGGGCTCATGAGGGGATGGAGGGAAGAGTGATGCAAGAGGAGCTGTTTAATTCCTCCCACCTCTGAGCATCCCCAGCCTCCTCCTCCAGCTGGGATGAATCCAGGAGCCTGGATAGGGGAAGGTGTCCCTGATCATGGCAGGGGAATATGGGATGGGCTTTAAACTCCTTCCAACCAAACCATTCCATGGTTCCAGGATTTTACTGCACTTCACCATCCAAGCTGAGCTGGGGGAGGGTGTTCAGGCCAAGACTGGGATTGGGAAGAGCCAGAGAGGGGGAAGACCAGGATGGTTTGTGGCTTTTGAGCCCCCATTTTGGGTCTGAGGGCAGAGAGTCCCTGCTGGGGCTGGCCTGGAATATTTTATTTATTAATTTTTTGCCAAGCTGACTCACTCTTCTCGGAGGATGAGCGGGCAAGTGGTCAAGCTGGCAAGGGGAGCTGGCAGGAGGCAGGGAAAAATCCAGACCAACCAGATTCCCAAAAATCTTTGCAGATCTCCTGTGATTTGGCCAGAGCTGAGAGGGGAAGGGATAATACCTGGGCCTGCTTCCTAATGCCAAGTTCATCAGCTCCAGCTAATCTATAAGAAGCTGGAATCAACTGATTTGCAAGGAAGAACTTGGCTTTTTAGGAATTCCAGCAGCGACTCTGGGCTGGCTTGGAGTGAGCAAGGAGTGGATCCAAGGGTTCTGCTGCAAAGCCACTGCTGGGGGATGGTTTAGCCAGAAAGGGGTGAACTCCCAGCAAAACCCTCAGGGATTCAGGAAGGAAGGAAGCAAAATTCAAACCAGGTGAGGCTTGAGAGGTGTTTTGGTTCCAGGAATGCTTTGGCAGGAGAACAAGTGGGACAAAGTGCTTTAAAATTAGGCTGGAAATTAGAACGGGTTTGCAGAAGACCAGAAAGGTTTCAGAGCTGGGAATGTGACACCTGGAATTGCCAGGATGGCACCTGGAGCCACGAGAAACCTGGATCACTGGTTATTCCTTCTCCATTTGCTGTTTGAATCCATCCAGGGGAGGGATTTGCCCCCTTTATTCCTATTTTTCCAGTGTTTTTGAACAGAAAATACATTCCAATAAAAACCAGGCAGCAGACACTGAGCAAACTCATGCTTGGGGTCAAAGGGAGCTCTATGCTGAACACAGAGAGAAATCCACATTATTGGGAAGGTTAAAAAGCATCCTATGGGTAAGATTTCTGGGAAAGAAGGTCTCTTTCCCAAAAATCATGGGAATTGGCAGCTCTGGCTGCTTTTTTCCAAGCAAACTTCTCGCTTCCCTGACCCCAAAGCCTGGCTGAGGGAAGGATGGAATTCCTGCTTTACTGCTGGGATCCTGTGCAGGGATGGGGATGCTCAGCCCTCCTCCACCCCACACCCAGAGCTCTCCCATTATCCCAACTCCAACAGGAGCACCACGAGCTTGCAACAAGTCCCAAACCCTTCCCACCCCATGAAAGGACCCCGTGGACCCTATTTTCACGGAAAACCTGG